ATCAATCAACACTAAAACAAATTCTGTAAGTATTTTATTTATCATTGAAGAAAAAACACAGCAGCAAGTTCTGTGTTGGCTTCAATAAGACCAAATAGTTAATCTTTAACATAGCTACAACACTCCAAAATTGAAGTCAACACAGTCATTACTACAAATTACTTGTTCAAAGAATCTATCCTGAAGAGAAAGGAAATTAGGAAAAAGAATTTAAACAATTCCTCCAAACCACACATTTATAAATATTGTCATATTTAAAATGCTTGAAAGGCATGAATTCTCCATTAATGGAAAAGCAGTTTGCTATTGGCAACAGAAAAAACTCAGCAACAGTTTACCAAATGCTTTAAAATTTAAAAGCTGTAACTGTTTCGGATTCACACTTGAGCAGTATTCTTGTCATTACAATCATGACTGCAAATTGCTTTATACTCACCTCTCAAGTAAAACCTACAGAAAATCCCACTGTATCCAATGTTTGTAATGTTTACTGCACTTATAGTGAACCTAAAAACTTTCTAAATGTAGTTAATATAGTAAATACCTCAAAGTATCTAGAGGTATGTCTCAACCACTAATGGTGTGGAAATTGTTTCAGCCCCTGCTTTGAAGAGTCTTCAAATACATTTTCTATAACAGAACCTTACCTCATTCCAAATGAATATGGTATTTCAAAAAAAAAAAAATCAGTTCTATACCAAGATACAGGTGTTACTCCATACCTGAAGGGTTCACATTTTAATTTATTTTTTAGTTTTTCTCTTTTGTAAACAAATGATTGATGAAATAATGCAACACCTCAAATTCCAGAAAATGGCCTCGTCGTCCAACCTCCTGTGGGTACGGTGCATGATCAATCTATTATAGAGGATTAATACAAGTTCATGCTTTTTGTGTTATGGTGAAACAACATTAAAGAATCCAATTTAGACTGGTTGACGCACAAGTATAATAATCCTTGAATGGGATCAAACCTATGTGAGACATGAGTCTGAATCCATTATCTTGAGATTTAACGTCGTACCGTGGTCCACCCATCTTCATCAGTCTCATTTTTGGTACGACGAAGAGACTCCCGATCTTTCTCAGCTCTCCAAGAGGACTTCTCTTTTTCACCTTCTCTCTCCCTTTCTCGGTCTCTTTCCCGGTCTCTTGAAAGAGCTGGGGGGGGGACACGACGAGGGGCTTCCCGCTCTTCTGCTCGCTCATCTTTCCTGTCATCAGCACGTCTCCAAGAACTTACTAAAAGTTTAACAGAAAAAGAGAGTAAGTTGGTGCTGTACTGTATTGGCTCAGACTAAACAGAACTTTAGCAAAAAGAATGTTTCCAATTACTCAGAAATCCTGTACTAAAGGTAGCAATGCAGAACCCCCATAAAAAAAATAATAAAATAAATTTAGTAATTTAAGACAAGGTGACAAAAATCTAAATGAAAATTTAAAATTAAAAAAAATTCTTGGCTCTTATTGAAATCGAACAGCAAAGTAGCCATTAAGCACAGTTGTTTGTTTGTTGTTGGGTTTTTTTGCATTTATTTTTGAGACACAGAGAGAGACAGAGCATGAGTCAGGGGAGGAGCAGAGAGGGAGACACAGAATCCGAAGCGGACTCCAGGCTCTGAGCAGTCAGCAGAGCCCGACGCGGGGCTCGAACTCACAGACCGTGAGATCGTGACCCGAGCTGAAGTCGGACGCTTAACCGACTGAGCCACCCAGGCGCCCCCAACACGGGTTTTGTTTTGTTTTTTAAGCTAAAGTTTCAGTAGTCACAATTTCAGAGAAACAATGTTTTACACTTTGTGCTTCTCTACCAAGATCTTACTTTTAAAGAACAAATACACTATTTCCTGGTTACATAAAATAAGCTTTCAAAGCAATATATATCACTACTATCCAACGTAATTAGCCTACTGATATACTTTGAATTTAGAAATGAGCTAACTTCACAGAGTGACGAAGATTACGAAAACTATAGATTTTAAACTGAATATTCATGATCTTATTTTTGATGTTTACATGAGTATGTGAGATAATTAAATAAAACCCAAAACTTCCCCAGAAATTATGGATTTCTGATAGTCCAGCAACATGCAGGCCATCCATACCTTCTTCACGTTCTGATCTGAGAGGAGGTCCTCTTCGGTCTCTGTCATCTCGCCTTTCTCTTAGGTCACGGCGATCATCTCTCTCCCGACGACGGTCATCCCGATCCCTATCATCTCGGCGAGCTGAATCTCTCCAGCTCGAAGATTCCTCCGCTGGTCCTCTTCTCCAGCCACCTTCATCCCTGCAGCCATTCAAAATGTTAAATTCTGTTGTTAAACTACATGCATGATAGCGTATGTGAACAGATCATTTACGAGTCGGTGCTGAGAGAGTTTACAAACCTAACAGGGATGAAGTTTAGATTTATAACTTGATCTCAACCTGATGCCTCAGGTGTACAGGTCAAATGAGATTATCTGAATCTGTGCTTTCCAACCTAACAGCCACAACCTGTATGTAGCTACTTAAACATAAATTAACTGAAACAAAGTCAAGACATTCTGTCAATAGCACTACCACGTTCCAAATGTTCAATAGCCAAATAGTATTCAAATAGCTACCATACTGGACATTACAGATCCAAGACAATTTCATCCTTGCAGAAAACTGTATTATAAACAGTGCTGGTTTAGATTCATCAGCACAAAGCCAATTTGGCCAGAAGAAGCAAGCTAGAACCGTTACCGCTAATAAAAGTAAAAGGGGCTTTTACTAGTTTAAGGACTATGTAACTGAAGAATTTAAACCACAGAGGATAGGCAACAGATGGGTAAAGATACCTGGTCTGGCTTCCTTACTAAATCATTACAAAACCTACAGAAAGCTACACGGTGTCAGCCTCACTTCCTCAACTTTGTTAAAAGGGGACGTCGGTTGAGGGATGCGGCACACCATTTCTCAACATGATCTGGGAAAACACCCAAGAGTATTTAGGAGAATCCCAGCTGTAATTCCACAGAGTCCCAATCAGAGCATCAAACCTCGGCCGTCTGAAGCGGTCTTCTCGATCCCCCTCTCGCTCTCTGTCCCTTTCTCGCTCTCTTTCTTTCTCTGGGTCCTTGTCATTTTCATCACGATCTTGGTTATCTCGCTCTCTTTCTTTTTCTCTATCCCATTCACGTTCTTCTGATGGTCTCGATTCTCGAGGTGGACCCCAACTCTCTTCTCTGGCCTTTTCTTTCTCTCTCCATCCACCTGTTGGTTTTTTTGTTTTTTTTTTTTAAGAAATAAAAATTTTTTTAATACTCCAGAAACCCAAGTTGGTAACTATGACTACACATCTTTATGTTGACATTAATATCACCATTATGTACGTTAAGTTAAGACACTCCAGGGATGCCTGGGTGGCTCAGTCAGTTGAGCACCTGACTTCGGCTCAGGTCATGATCTCATGGTTTGTGGGTTCGAGCCCCACATCGGGCTTTGTGCTGACAGTGAGGAGCCTACTTTTCAGATTCTGTCTCCCTCTCTCTCTGACCCTCCCCAATTCGCTCTCACTCTCTCAAAAATAAACAATAAAAAAAATACAATACAATCTTATTTTTAAAGAGAACTAGGGGCGCCTGAGTGGCTCAGTTGGTTAAGCGTCCGACTTCGGCTCAGGTCATGATCTCGCGGTTCGTGGGTTCAAGTCCCGTGCCGGGCTCTGTGCTGACAGCTCCGAGACTGGAGCCTGCTTCAGATTCTGGGTCTCCTTTTCTCTCTGCCCCTCCCCCATTTGTGCTCTGTCTCGATCAAAAATAAATAAATGAAAAAAAATAAAAATAAATTTTTTTAAAAAACTAAAGCTACTCATATCATTTTACAGAATCACCAGCTTATATTTACAACTACCTATTATTGTTTTTCTAACACACAGGGAGGAACATGTAAGATAAGGGAAATTTATATAGCCTGGGTTGTTTCATATGCTGAGATTATGGCTATAAAAATCTGTTCTGATGGTAAATAGACAACTCATTTTAAGCAAAAAAACTTAAAAAGTGGAGGATTAGGAAATAGATCTCTGAGAGATGGGAGCCCCAACTGTAATTTCACTCACATGTTGCAACATTTTCAAAACCTTTGTAACTAAAAACTTTCTTTTCATATTCGTTTACTACCCATGCAATCACGGAACAAAGAAAGATCAATCCTTTGACCCCACCCTATCCATCACCTCACACTTAAGGCTGGGATGCCCAAACCTAGGAATGTAATATATTTGCACAAAGAGGCCAAAGGGAGCAGATTTACATGAAAATCTATTACCCTTGCAGGACTATTATTGTTGCTAACATTTCTATTACAACGTGCCACAGCACTATTCTAAACCTTCTGTGTATATTAACTCATTTAATCCTTTCCATAGCTTTGAGCTAAGTAAATCCCATACCTGCCACTTTACATACTTGCTAAAATTTGTAAGTTGCTAAAATTAATACTCAAGCACTTTTACAGTCCCTCGCAGACACGTGCAGAATGGTATCTGAGTCGCCGGAAGAGCCCATTCACAGTGGAGGGTGAACAAGGCAACGGCCCTGTCTTCTTGCTGCAGCACTCATACTTCTTTAAATTTTTTTTACATTTTATTTATTTTCGATAGAGACAGAGCACAAGTGGGGGAGGAGCAGAGAGAGAGGGAGACACAGAATCTGAAGCAGGATCCAAGGCTCCAGGCTCCAGCTGTCAGCACAGAACCCGACGCGGGGCTCGAACTCACAAACCGCGAGATCATGACCTGAGCCAAAGTCGGACGCTTAACTGACTGAGCCGCCCAGGCGCCCCAGCTCTCATACTTTAAAACAAGTATCCTTTTGCTGGTCTTAAAATTAGCAACACATCTTTGCGTTTTTGTGTTTTACTGGTGATTTCACGGTTTAAAATGGCCCTCAAGCACTGTGCTGCAGTGCTGTCTCGTGTCCCAAGCACAAGAAGGTGATGGATGCGCCTTACAGAAAAAATACCATTTTAGATAAGCTTCATTGAGGAGATACAGTGCTGCTGGCCACGAGTCCAATGTTAATGAGTCAATTAACATGTTAAAACAGAAATGCACAAAAGAAGGTTCTGCGTTCATTGGTTGACAGAAATGTTGTGAGCAGAGGGCTTAACGGAACCTAATCTGGTATTTTCCTTCAGAGCAATGATTCAGTATTCACAGTGACTATAAAACATCTATCGTGAATTAATGAGAACCTACCACACCGTTATCCCTGTTTTACACAAGGCACAGAAATGTCACACAGCCAGACAGTGGAAGGAATGGAGACCAGAAGAGACAGAAACACCAAGGGCAAAGGAAAGGAAGCTGGTCACTGAAATGTGCATTTAGGACGGCTGCCTCCGGTTACTGCTCCAAGTCAGGAGTGGGAGAGCCTGCAGGGACCAGGAGCAGCAAGAGTTCAAGGAAAGCATGATAGCGGCCCAGACCTAAGCACTTGTAGGGGAACAGAGAAGTGGGTGGATTTAAGGAACACAAGGAAACAGAACTGAACTAAATGAAAAGACTTATCATAAAGGATGAAAGAGGGCAAAGGACAGCTCCCAGATCTCTAGGTTATAAAATCGGACAGATGGCAGTGGCCCTGATGAGAAGCCTGTGGGTGTGAATTCAGTTTCAACAGGCTAAAGGCGACACGTCAGAGACATTTCTAGGTAGAACTGTACTGTGTGCAGCATGAGACTGGTAACATGGGTCTGAAGGTAAGGAAAGAAGTCACCTGGAGAAGATGGTAACAGAAGTCACAGATTATGTACAACTGCTCAAGAACAAAAAAGTATGAAAACATGAGCAGGCCCAAGACTGAGAAAGTAAGGAACAGCTCTTCCCATAAGCCTAACCCCATGGTAGGCAAGACTGCAAATACTTAAGTATACTTTTTCATTATTTACACAAGAAGGCTGGTGTAGGACAGAACCTGAGAAACACCAATACTTAAGGGACAGGGATGGGACAAGAGCCCTCAAAGAAGCAGTCAGCAGGCAGAAGGGGAAAAAAAGCACGAATCGCTTAAGCAGAAAAAGGGGTAAGGTTATTTAACTTGTTCTGGTGTGTGGGATATCAAAGCCAAGCTCCTGAGATAAAAGTCACTGCACAAACACCTAAGGGAAAATAAAAGACCAATTTATCCAGAAACTAATAATAATATAGCCTAATCGTTTTTATCTATACATTAAAATTTCATTTTTTAGCTAAAAAATAACTTTTTATTTAGATATTGAAATACAGTCATTTGAAATGTCCCTGTTTGAAACACTACAGAATAGTGATTAGCATATGCAAGATTACACTTTCCATTTGTAAAACACATCAAGCAGAGTCTATAAAGCATCTAAGCTGGTTTTCTGAATACCAGAATTTTACCTGGCTTGACAAATGGTCTCCAGGGACCAGGCCTTGAGTCCTCGCCCCTTCTGGGAATCCGATCATCATCTGTGCTTCTCCAAGGCCCCCGGTCATCATCTGCACCACGTCTGGAAATTCTGTCATCATCAGCATTCCTCCAAGGTCCTCGATCATCATCCAACCCACGCCTTGGGCCCCGGTCATCATCCATGCCGCGCCTGGGACCCCGATCGTCATCAGCATTACGCCAGGAAGACCGCTCGTCATCTGCACCTCCTCGCCGTGGCCCCCGGTCCTCATCCATCCCACGTCTTGGTCCTCTGTCCTCATCAGCTGTTCGCCAGCTTCCTCTGTCCTCATCCAGTCCCCGTCTAGGTGGTCTGTCATCATCCGCATGACGCCAGCTTCCCCTGTCTTCATCCCCAATTCGCCTGGGAGGCCTGTCATCATCTGCACTACGCCAGGAAGGCCGGTCATCATCTGCCCCCCGGCGAGAGAACCGGTCTTCATCAAGGCCACGTCTGGGACCTCTGTCCTCATCCATGCCACGCCGGGGAATGCGATCATCATCTGCTCGGAGAGAAGACTCTCTCTCTTCCTCATCCCCCAGTCGCCTTGGCCGATCATCCTCTCTTCTATGAGGCCTCTCCTCATCCCGCCCCTCTCCACGTCTCCACTCCCTACAGAGCAACAAGCCAAACATCTTTAAGAGTCCATTTTCTTAAGAGCAAATGATCCTTTTGGGAATTATTTCATTCACTTCTAAAAACCACTTCAGCCTAAATTCATGATTCCTAGTCCTGAAATAATATGTGCTCCTAATAAAAAATAACACAAAATATAAAATCTTACATCAACAAATAAACAGGTAGACAATTAAAGGTATCTACCTGCACTTTACCAGAAGCATCCTGGCATCTATTACTATGAGCTTTCAAAACTTAATTTCTGTATAGCACTTATGACCAGCCATCTTATCATGAGCAGTCATTTTTGAAGGATGGTTCAATCCACTTAAATTTAAAGGAAGGGGCACCTGGGTGGCTTAGTGGGTAATCATGACCGGATTTCAGCTCAGGTCACTATCTCATGGTTGTGAGATTAATCCCTGTGCCGGGCTCTGCGCCATGCATGGGGCCTACTTAAGATTCTCTCTCTCCCTCTCCCTCTCTCACTGCCTCGCTCTCTCAAAATAATAATCATAATAATCATACGCAAAAAACTAAAAGGAAAATACGTTCTAGAACTATTCATTCTTACTGTAATCTCAGTATTATTCCATTAGGGAACAAAAACCCTGAAGCATTTATTTCTCAAAATATCTAGAAGTCCGTAATTATAGCACCGTTGAAGTAAACTATAAAAACACTTTGGTAGCAGACATGCATACAATTCTTCATAGTTCTCCTTTCCCCACCTCTATAAAATAAACCCAACTGAAAAACTGCTAATGAGGCATTAACAGGACCTCTGTCTAATTGGTACTATTTTCCTTGACTCTACTTACTTCTCTGGTGGGCCTCTTCTCCACTCGGAATCTACTTCAGGTCCTTTTCTCCATGTGCCTTCTGAATCTCTATCTCCCCAACGAGAGTCCTACATTCACCAAAGTTAATGTGAGGCACTACATTGGCAACACTTATTACAACTACTAGTATTACCAAATGTTTTTGCACTTATATTAACCTCAAGTCCTTAAATATAAACAAGTTTTAAAATGGTTTGTTTTAACCCAAAGTCAGAGTGGTAGTACAGTGAAACTGGTGTGACTGGCTTTATAAATCAACAAAATACCACCTTGAAAGCAATCTGGCACCCAACCCCTGGAATTACTCAAATATCTGCAGATATCCTTTGATCCTCAAAATTCCCTCCTGAGATTATGTGAAAAAAGCTCGGTGCCCCAAACGTACATTGCACAGGACCTCCTAAAATGGAACAAATGAAATGTCAAATGAGGGATGTTTCTATTAACAGTATTTCCCTCTTCCAAGTACTATGTTGTCATTAAAAATTATGGAAAAGAGTATAGGGACATAAATACGCTTACAGTGGAAATGTAAACGTGGTACAACCTCTGTAGGGAGCAAAGCACACAATTTTAATCCCATACAGCTCTGACACAGTTTGATGGCTCCTACAAACATAACCTAAGGCCACAGTCAGCAATTAAGAACACTCTGGAAAATACAAAACAAGATCTGCGGCAAGGGTGGGAGGAGTAAGGTAAAAAGCTAACAAAGCTGACAATTCCAAGTAGGTGGTGTATAAGAGGCTCTTTATTTAAATTTTAAAAAGTGTTTTGGTAATAAAACCTCCAACAACAATTAACATAAGAAACTGAAGGGAAGAAGAGGCAGAGATGGTAAGTCACCTGCCATCGCAATGGACTCTGGACTCTTAAGGTGGAGGTTATTCTAAGAGACTTTCCCAAGTGGACACCGTGGGAGAAAAGAGGAGCTCAACTGTCCATAAAACTTAAGGTCACTACAATGCAGGGAATGTCAACGCCCAGAAAACCAAGTTTCTCCCACCCTTCATACTCGCCCTAGAAAGTAAACTCAGCAAAGAATTCAAGTTATTAGAGGTTTTCACACAACTAGACCCTCAAAGAAGATTTTCAGGGATGGCTATGATAGCCATTAAACAAACAAAAAGAATTCCAAAAGGCAACGTGATTACCAAAAATTTTTAACTCAGTTCATATATCAAACAGAACAGGCCCCGCTAATAAACATATAAACTGAACGGGAATCTCAGAGAACAAAGACAAAGAGATTTTCAAAAGGACAAAGAGATTTTTTTTTTAAAAGGGAAACATTAAAAGAAAACAATAGGGCTCTGAAAGGCAAATAAAGACAAGAGAAAAAACTTTCCCTAGATTAAGGAAATACAATCTTCTCTAAGGTAAATAAATTGCATCCTCTGACTACGAAAGGCACAAGTGCCAAAATGGGTGAGTAATAAAGGCTATGTACTTAGGTGACTGGACAAAGTCTCAGGAAAATCTTCATGCTCCTTTCACTCCAAGGACAGAATATTCTGAAATTCCCAAGGAATAATACAGAGTATCTACAGAAGTAGCAAGACCAAGACTATTCTCGCAATCTCCTCCCTTCACTGTGTACTGGGATACTGAGCAGTCGTGAAACTTCTGAGGGAGGATTCGAACTGACCAAACCACTACACCATTTTTCAACTTTGAGGGGAGGAAACAAAAAAGAGAAACCTCTTTGGAGATATATACAAAGACAGCCTGGAAAAAAAAAATTGAAAAGATATACAAAACAAGACCAAAAAAAATGTTATCTGCAAAAGAGAAAAAGTGGTAAGTGTAAACATATTTGAAACTAAATCATGTTTACCAATCTTGTTGGAAAACTGTTAAGAAAGTCCTAAATAGATTAACATGTTTTAGTGAGCTGGATGTAAAAATATTCAACTTACTGCAATAGAACAAATAAAAGTAAAGGTATGCTCAGAATTTTTTTGTTCTGAGAAGACAGAGTTCCCAAAATTTACAGACTGTGAAGTTTAGATAAATTTTAAAAAACGGTGATAATCACTAAGAGACTAGAGACAACATAAATGTACTGAGAAAAGTTCTTAAATTTGGCTTGAAGGAAGCAGTGGCAGGAACATGGAAGCAAATAAAAAAATATAATAATTACTATGTTAAATGTAAATAAATTAAAGACTCTAACTGAAAGGAAGGGTAGGGAGGGGGAGGCACAAAACAGAAACAAAAGACTGAAAATGGACAGATTTGCGAAAACTAAAAAAAAAGCAACTCAGGAATCCATCATCACAGCCAAGTAAGTCACCTCCCTTTCTTCAGAAGATGAAGCTCCCATAAGTTAACAGAATGTAGCAAAGTAAAATAAGTAACAACATTTCTGATTCCATATACACATACAACTTTGTGCCCAAGAGAAAAAGAATATGCGTAACACATCATGTTTTGGAACACAAAATTAGGAATCGTATAGGCCACATTCACTAGTAACAAGGAAGTAAAAATAAAAATTAGCAACAGGAGTAACAAAACCGAAAATCTATCCATATACATTTTAAACGGAAATCAAAGAACAGCAGGTCATCCAAGAAAACTGACACAAGGTATGGAACGGAGGAAGGAATGGAGACAGGCAGCAGGCAAGAAATCCTCCAGCTCCTCAAGTCTGAACGTAGAAACAAAGCTGTATCTTGTTTAAGAGGGAGCACTGGCACATCCAAGGGGAAACAGAGAATGCAGACAGATGTCAAAGAACCATAAGGCATAAAACGAGCTCAGAAACGGTTAGAGTATAGATGACTAAGAAGAAAATGGTGACAGACAAAGCTACTGGAAAAAGCAGGAAACAAGATAGGCCTTGACTGCTAAGGCAGGTTTTACCTTTGGTTCTAAGTAATGAGTACCAATCAAAGCAAAGTTTGAAACCCAAGAGCAGGTAAAATGATCAAATATACATCATGAAAAAAATGGCCACGATGTAGAGGAAGGTCTGAAGCTGGGGAGAGACTATAATCAGAGGGAACAGTAAGGAGACCAGTAAAATAATACAAAAGAAGATTCTAAATTAAGCCAGGAACGCAGAACAGAAAGGAGACGGGGTAGATTCAAAACTCTTAAGATTAAATGGGTAACGGTGCCACCAATCAGGAGCAGGGATTAGAGACACAAACTAGAGGGGGAATAAAAGTCAGTTTTGGACGTGAGCGCATATTAAAAATATTTAGGGCGGCATTTGAATCACTTGGAAATATTGTTAAAATGCAGATTCTGGGGCGCTTGGGTCGCTCAGTCAGTTGAGCGTCTAACTCTTGGTGCTGGCTCAGGACATGACCTCACAGTTCATGGGTTCAAACCACACATCAGGCTCTGTGCTGTCAGCACAGAGCCCACTTGGGATTTTTCTCTCTTTCTCTCTGCTCCTTCCCTGATGGCTTGCTCTCTCAAAATAAATAAACATTAAAAAAATAAATAAAACATGAAGCTCAGACACTGATATGTGCACTGAGGCATGTGGACCATGCAAGACAACCGGGTGATAAGCACGGCACATAAAAACAGAGTAACTTCTACACTCACCTTTCTAGAAAGTGGATCGTCACCAAGTCTTCTCTCTTCCTCTCTACGTCGTTCCCTTTCTTCAATTTCCAGCTCTCTTTGGCGTTTTTTCCTTTCCACTTCTTCTAATTTCTTGACCCGCTCCTGATATTCTCGTAGCTCTTCCTCACGTTTTGCCCGTTCAGCACGCTCTCTCTCTTCACGCTCTAGATACCGGGTTAGGTTATTAAGTGTTACAAGTCTTTGCCCTAGAACTAGGTCTACTTTGCTGGTATTCAGCAGGCAGTGTAAGGTAGAAGGAAAATCTTTTTAAAAAACTGTATTTTACAATGAGCTAAGGGGCAGAAGATATTCAAGAAAACAAGTATGATGCCACTCGACACTTTTGTAACAACAAGATACTCAAATGCCTCCCCAACTCCTGAACATCTTGGGATTCCAGAGAAAGGACCATCTGACAGACTCCATGTAGTATGTGCTCCTTAATACATGTCAGTGCTACATAAACTTGAGTGATAAAAATTAAAAATTAAAGAATGGTATTAATTAAAAAAAAAAAAAAAGATGTGGCAATAAGCTAGAAGAGGACAGAACATCCTCACCTAAAACAAACTTCAGACAACTAAAAGTTAGCTTAAGTTAGCTGCAATTAAGAAGCCACTGATCCTGGTTCCTCATTCCTGTATTTTCTAAGTAAGATTACTGTAAGGCGGACTATCAACCTTGCCTCACACACCCTCCAACCTTGGTCTAGCGATACCTTTCAGCATCTGTTCTTCTGCCCTCCTCTGCTCCTCCTCTTCTTTTTCTCTATGGTAGGTTATTCTGCGTTCTTCTTTACGCTGCCTTTTGCGCTCTTCCAACCGATTATGCCTTTCTTCTGCTAATCTCTCCTCAAATTGTTTAAGTTTTTCCTATTAATAGAATGGACAATAAAAATCCAATCTTTTGAAGCCCTACAAACCAGCTAAATTTGAAGTTTACAAAAGCACCGCAAGTTTCTTGAAACCCTATGTACACACATTTCCCAATGACCGGTTTTTGTGACGTGTTGTGGCCAGTTATTTTTTCCTACACCCAGTGGGTTTGTTTTTGTTCAAACCAAATCAAATAATTAAATTAGAATTTAAGAGCAGGACACTTTGATCTATTATTTCCTTTCTAAATCCAACAGTAAACAAACCTTACATCCAAAGCAAATATAATGCAGTCCACTTGCACCTTCAGAAAATTTGTTTATAGTGATGGCTGACTGCTTAATAACCTACAAAATATTTTCAAGAACGTTTCTATTAAAATGTTATTTAAATGATTATTACAAAACGTTGGCTCAAGACACAACGTACCACTGCATTAAAGAACCTTAAGGCAAAACAAAAAAGCTCATTTATTCAGGGAATAAATGTTTCCCTGAAACCAGTAACTTCACCTCATAAACAGACTGTCGTGCGGCCTTGAGTCGCATTACAAATAAATCTCTGTCTTCAAGCATTCGTGACATTCGATTCTTATGTTCGAGAGCCTTTTCACGTTCTAGTTGCATGGTAGTAATCTGCAAATACATAACATGAAGTTAAATTTCAAAGCATTCACTTTCTGATTAGTAATTTACTCTCAATTCCTGACAGATATACTCAAAGAATGACAAGCAGATCTTCTGCCCCTTCTATCTTGGTATAAAAATGGAAGGGTTACTATATCCATGCCCATGTGTCCCTAGGCGGAAATCAGGGACAGGAGACGGGTAAGTCCTGAGGCATCTGTAAGAAATTCTTATTTAGGCCCATGGTACTGAAAATTTTTATAAAGGAAAAACTACAACGTATACAATAAAACAAAAAGTAAACACCTCATGGTAATAAGCACTACGATCTAATTATGAAAGATATTTTCTCCCTTAAAGAAAACTGTGGAGGTTCAGGCAGAGTGCACTAATGATTCAAGAAGACTTTTCTCTCTGTACTCCAAAGGGGAATGGAAGGCTTCAGGGCAGAGACTACAACAAATCATCTCAAATATTTTATCTGGTCTGCACTCTGTTTTCTCTGATTTTACACATTATCACAAAAATTCGAACTTCTGAAAGAATGGGAAGAACTGGCAAATGAAGCACAGGATGGCAACACTCCAGTGGAACCAAGAGGCTGCATTCTCCACACTGCAAGTCCCCACAGGTTTGTTGTCTGTCTGTATTTACTTTTTTTTTAAAAACTAGAACAGGGCCACTAGTTTTTAATCACAATTTAATCACGAGCATTTGAAAGCCTTGCTCTTGTACCATTAGATAAATACGGAAGGGACAGTCTAGTCCCAAAAGGCCATGTACTGTATGATTCCATTTATATAAAATATCTAAACAATAAGCAAATCTAGAGACAGACAGGGCACTGGTGGTTGCATAAGGCCAAAGTGGTGTGGAGAAAATGGGGAGGGACTGCTAATAGGTGTGGAGTTTCTTTTGGGGTAAAGTTTAATGGCTGTGCAATTCTGTAAATGTACTAAAACCCATCAATTACACAGTTTAAACGGGTGAATTGTGTGGCATGGGAGTTATATCCTCATAAAGCTCTTTTTTAAGTGAACTTTTCACCTGTCTTTTGCGTTACTACAAGTTTCATTTTTTAACCTCTGTTGTAAAAACATCTATCTGCCCACCAGTCTGTCTGTATTCAGCCATTAAAGTGCCACCATTCCTCGCAAAAGAGCACAGAATGATCAGTTCTGAAACCGTGGCCCCATTACTGGCAGAGGATTTAATTATAGCTTACAGTCTAAAAGTGTTACAGTCCAATGTAAATCTTACTCTTTCTTCTTCTTGCTGTTCCCACAGATCCATGTCTTTAATCCTCTGTTCTTCATATGCGCTCTTTATCAAAGGGATTTCCTCCAAGCGTTTAGCTCGTTCAAAATAATCAATCTGAATGACATGAAAATAAAAGTATTTAAGAAAGAAATTTCTGTTAACCTGACATGTTGTAAGTTTACCAACCAGTCCTTTCATTCACCTTCTTTTCTTGATTCTTCAGGCGTTCCTGAAGTTCCTTCTTTTCTTTCTCCAGTTGTTCAACCTGTTTAGCCATGATAAAGTCCGGATCCAATTCTTCCAGATCCTGTGAAGTATTACAAACGCACATTCACTAATAAGAATATAGAAGAAAGGCGTATGGAGCAATGTTTTCTAAAATCAAAACCTAAGTTACTTTTTATACAATGAGTAAGTGTTACCAGCGGGTAAAGTTAGGCAACGTAAGGATGTTTTACAATAGCCATATTTCCACTTCTGTGTAGGGAAAAACAACATAATCTTAACATCTACTTCTCATTCCGCACACCTGCACGTACCCAACTCTGTTTTAACAATGGCTAAAAACTGCACAGAGCCATTTAAAACAAATGCTTACTTCACAGATTATAGTTAATGAATCAGCTGTACCCAAACGAATGAAAATAACCAGATTACTCAAAGTAAATCACTAATTGGTAAAGAACCGTGCTTCTGAAATGTGGATCAAAGACCGTAACAAGTAGTGAGCTACATACTTCAATATCAATGTCTTTGAACGCTTTGGCACCCAGTTCCGTTTTCTTGATCTGCTCCAAACGCTCACGGACAGTTTTCTTTTTGATTTGTTCATGTTCCTGTAAGATGCGCTCCTTCTCTCTCTCCTTTGCCTCCTGTCGCAACCTCTCTTCTTCAGCTTTCCTTACTTTCTGAAGTTCAGCTTCCCTCTGCTCCAATTCTTCCTTCTCACGCTGAATATTGAGACTCTCAAGGCGCTCTTTCCTTTCCTCAATTGTCTGACGGCGAGCCAGGATACGCTGATGCTCTTTTCGGGAGTTTTTAAGGTATGCAGTAACAGCCAACTGATGCTGTTCTTCTTTCTCTTGCTTCAAAAATAAATGGATTAAAAAAATTATCACATGACACACCAGGGTATTAGGCATCCAAAAAATTACTAAATAATCCTGACCTATTACCCTTACGTATATCTGCATTTAATAACAAGAGATAATGTTATTCAAGCTACTAGCTCCCAGCACCAAATACTATGACCTATACAAAATCTTTAATAGCAGCGACATATCTGAAGAACCTTTATTTGCTAGGTCCATTGTTCTCTGCAACAAATCTACTTTATAGCATGTAAGCCAAGGAGAAAGGCTAACAAAACTAACAAGGAAAGAAGTTAAGCAGGAAGGAAAAATCCCACAGAGGGGGTGAAGAGGGGATATCCTCTTATATGTGATAGGTACAATACCAAAACTAAGAAATACAACTGAATAGGAAATATATAATAAAGTCTTTTTCTCAGACATCATCCCAAACAAACCTTTTTGTGCAAGACATAGCGTAAGGGCCCCTGAAAGATTCTGTAGTTCATTTCTCCCCAAGATGCATACCAAAATATGAGCTGGCTTAATGACTTCAAGTGCCTTTGCAAGTACTGAAGACATCGCTGTCAACTGATTTCTGATCTGTTCTGAAGGCATGCTTTGCAAATGAGGACCAATTGGAGCATCTTCTCGAGTAGCGTAATTCAAATCAGATCCAAAACTAAGGGTCCGAGAAGTGTGGTCAATACGAACCTTTGAAAATTAAACGACCTCATCAATAGTTACATCTATATACAAATACGAAATCATTCTACAGACGGGTCCCTTATATTTTCTTAAATGTCTATTTTTGAGTGAGAGGAAAAGAGAGAGCGTGTGTGCACACGAGACAGAACACAGGGGAGGGGCAGAGAGAGAGGGAGACACAGAACCCAAAGCAGGCTCCAGGCTCCGAGCCGTCAGCACAGAGCCCAACGCAGGGCTTGAACTCGTGAACTACAACAGCATGACCTGAGCCAAGTCAGTCGCCCTATTGACTGAGGCGCCCAGGCGCCCCACAAATAAGTAACTTTTGATAAAAAATTTCAAATGAATATGAGAAAACATTAAGAATGTTAAATACAAAAGCTAGAAAACCCATTCAGTACAACTTTAAAATGGTGCCACTGAACCAAAACTGCGAGAAACAAAGGATAGGTGTTTTTTAGTCCTTAAAGGCCTTCTACCTCGGTGTCCCTTCCAGCACATACCTGCAGATCACAGTGCCTGGCAGCATCTACTATAGCCCGTTCCAGTTGGAAAGCATCAACAAAAGGAACCAGAGAAGTCAAACGAGAAAACTCAATGCTCTGATAAATCTGTGCCACCTGCATAAAGAACACAAGGTTAGCAGTAATAGCTATAATTTATTCAGCATTTTTATGTGCAGTCTTACACAACTATGAGTAGAACCTATGTCCATTTCCCAGAGAAGTTGAAGCTCAAAGTTAACTGTTAACACTACACTGCTAGAGTTGGAATCACAATTCAAAGCTATCAACCCCAAAAGCTATGCTCTGAACCATCACATTATACCATTCCTCAAAAGCATAATCCTTTCGGGGCGCCTGGGTGGCGCAGTCGGTTAAGCGTCCGACTTCAGCCAGGTCACGATCTCGCGGTCTGGGAGTTCGAGCCCCGCGTCAGGCTCTGGGCTGATGGCTCAGAGCCTGGAGCCTGTTTCCGATTCTGTGTCTCCTCTCTCTCTGCCCCTCCCCTGTTCATGCTCTGTCTCTCTCTGTCCCAAAAATAAATAAATGTTGAAAAAAAAAAATTAAAAAAAAAAAGCATAATCCTTTCAAATCCTAGTTTCATCAAACAAAAAGCCCTGAATGGCCATATATTTGTAGAGATCTGCTACTTACCTAATTCATCTGAACACTTTTAATAAAATTATTTGTCTGAAGGAGACTGGCAGCATTACTATTTAGTTATACTGCTAATTAGCCTTCAACTATTTATATAGCACATAAGAAATAACACTGCTCACATATACAAAAGAAAGCAGGTCAATGAAATGTGCATAAATACTGAAGTGAAAATATAGTAAAAGCCCCCTCCCAATGAAACAAATGGAAGACAAAACAGGAACATTTAAGCCATGTTATAAACCCTAATATTCAAACTTACAGAAGTCAGCCTAAAGTATGTTAGAAGACTAACAATAAATAGCGTTAGTAAGAGAAAAGGCTTCCCCACTCACCACAGGTAGGAGGGTTCACTAACTGAATCTCTTGAAGAGCTATTAAAGCTTTAAATGTGTAAACTCTGTGACTAATTCCACTTCTGATATTACACAAAGTCACAGAAGTACGTAAAGACACATGTATGGAAATGTTCACTGCTACAACATTTTCTAATAGCAGAAAAACCCCTAGAAATACGGATTTACATCGGTAGAGTCTGAATAAATCACAGTACCCTTTAGACAATTTAAAACCATGTAGGTGTTGAATCAGATTTACACTACTAATGAGGAGAAATGTACGTAGATAGTGTTCAACGATAAAGGAGAAAAAAAACTACAAATTATACGTAAAATATTGTTTTTCAAATCAAATAAATTAAGACTAATTTTGGCAAGGATAGAATTTGGTGAGGAGTTCAAATCCTAGGCCATTCCTCAATTTTTTAGTGTTGTGATAAAAACAATCAAGGGGAGAAATTCCAGTTCTAAATAAAACATTTATTTAAAAATGTTTACCTGCTGCAGAAGACGAAGTATGGTGTTGTTTTGCAGCTGTGGGACATACTGTTGCAACTCTGGTTCCTTTTCAGGTTGTTCCCTAACCCAATTTAGAACCTGTAAAGTCCATTACATTGAAAACAGATCATACTTTCTAATAACAGTAAAACATTTATGAAGTTTTTCATTTTTTTTTTAACATACAGAAACATCACAGTGCAGGGAAATACAAATGTAATACAAAACTATGTTGATGCTTGTCTGAAGGTGACTGACAGCAATGACTAAATTAGCCATGCTGCTAATTTACCTCCAAAGGCTTATTTATTTAGCACATCAGAAATATCTTTTCCCTTAACATAAAGAAAAAAAGACAATGAAATGTGCACTGAATTTAAACACAAAGGACAATACTTCTCTCTCAGTATAAATACAACCTGAAAAAAGGCCAGCTAGCAAAGGTCATATAACCAAAACTAGAACACTAAGCCTTACCTTTGTAACTCTCTCGCAGAGTTTTAGCGGGTTAAATTCTACTTCCAGCCAATTGTAAAGGTCTTTCACTTCAGGAACAACATACTGCAATACATTGAATCTGACCTACAATGAACAAAAGGTTTAACTGCTGAAGGAAATTTTCCAACTAAATTCCCAACTGAACTGAATACAAAGAAGAAAAATACAGGATTGGAGATCTAGAAAGTGTCTGAAAGACCAGCCTCAATCCTCTTTAAATTTACCAGAGGACTCTAAAAGAAAACTACACTTGGGTCTCTTACCCCAAATTATGTATCTATCTACAGTGAAAAGTCTCCCAAGAGCTTAATAAGGATATAAAAACTCTAAACCAACAAAATATTTACAAAGACAACTAGTGTGGCCAACCTAATTACCAGCAATAAGTAAAATCCCACAGTTCACAAATTACTGGAGCACACAAAAATTACCATGCCAACACTATTCATAAAAGCCCCTATTAGAAAAAACTCAGGACAAACAGGGATAGGTTCTTATACAGAAATGATCGAAGAAAAAAAAGCTACACACATGTGAATAAATCTCACAAGAATTTAACATACCGCATTTATGTGAACCTCAAATCTCATATAAAGTACACAGGCAAATTTATGTGTGGTGTCGCATATCAGGGCAAGTGGCTATTTTGGGGGGCATGGGGAGTGAGGACTATAAACCACCTCATGAGAATGTACCCAATTACATTTATGATTTACATTTTTATATGTGACTAAAACTCAACTAAGGGTGCCACCTGAATAACTTTTCTTAAAAAGGGAGACAAAAAATGGCCAAACTTTATTAACCTCAAAACTGCCCATAATTAAATCATACCTTACCTAAACTATAAACTAGAATATATAATGCACACGGACCTTTACCCTTTACATGTGGGGAACTGCAAACCCAAAGACAGCAGACTACCTGCAGAGACACAGCAAGACTTGCAAGCACAGTTATTGCAGGATTGTGTGTGTAGCCACAAGACTGGTCACAAGACTGAGGCAAATGACAGCAGATCCTATCCCCACACATGAGCACTCTAGTCTACCTCCTATCCAAAATGGGTGCACGACTGATTTCCACATTTCTGGAATACCTCCCTCACAAGTGCCTTTATTGAAATTAAGTGTGGTGTGGTATAAGCATTCAAATAAAATTCTCCCTGCTGTAATTGTATTCCTATCAAATTATTCTAGATTCTCCATTTAGCACCCTTTTCCCCAAAGAGGAGATATGCTACAATAGGCTACTGTAATCTGTTAAAATATTTCTAAGATTTATAATTGGCTTTCTGATCTAAGAACGAGTTGCTTATGAACTCTGGTTAATCTGAATATGTTCCTGAGATAAGAGAATCATTCTCGGGGTGCCTGGCTCAGTCGGTAAAGCATCTGACTTCAGCTCAGGCCACAATCTCGCGATTCGTGGGTTCGAGGCCCACGTCCGGCTCTGTTATGACAACTCAAGGGCCTGAAGCCCGCTTCATATTCTGTGGCTCCTTCTCTCTCTGCCCCTCCCCCGCTCGTGCTCTGCCTCTCTCTCAAAAATAAATAAACATTAAAAAATAAATTTAGAAAAATCATTCTCTTGGTGTTTACAAATTCAGTTATAGGAGCTCAAAGCTCAGGTCTCAATCTTGAATGTATGGTGAACTCATAACGACTTATATAAATGCCCACTGACAGCCAGCTAATCTACTGACTTGATACCAACCTGTACCGTTCTCATAAACTTTTATACCTGTCTATGGGCACAATAAGGACCCAAGTCTGGATGTCCTGGCTGCTGGCCGAAAGCTCTCCAACAATGATAAACAAACCAGTGTAAGACACCAACTTTAACATCAAGGTGTGTGTTAGGTATGTAGATAAAAGTTCAAGAGATATGGACTCTCCGGTTTAAACACTTGTTCGGTATTTTAAAATAAAAAAAAATTTTTTTTTACACTACTTGCTAGTAAGATCTCTTCCCAAAGAAAATGCTATCATTTTATTCACTTAATTCTAAGTCAGTCCCACAAAAACTCGTCAAAACACAAAGCTGACCTGTGGCCAGTGGCAACAAAATAAAACATGGAGGCATACAAAAACAGAGAAGGGCTGTTTTGCAGATTAAGTTCTTGTTAAAAGCTTACAACAGGCACCAGGGTGGCTTAGTCAGTTACGCATCTGACTCCTAGCTCAGGTCACAATCTCCGGTTTGCGAAATCGAGCCCCACGTCGGGCTCCACAATGCTGTGGGACTCTCTCTCTCTCCCCACTCCTCCCCCTGCTTGCACACAGTTCTCACTCTCTCTCTCAAGCAAACAAATAAAAATAAAAACTGACAACAAAGGGAATCTGCCTTCTTACTGTTACAGAAATGTGTTCCAAGGGAAAAGTGTTGCTACATAGAAAACTGATTAGTTCTTACTTAACAGGTTCTGCCAGAAAAGCAAAGCCTCTTCTCTAGCAACTGTCCCTCTTATTTCTCTTGTTCCAAAGTAATTTACTGGGCTATTATATTACAGTAACTACTAAGTCTGACTATTGTGAGTCAGACTCTCTAAAACCTAAAGTTGTAAATCTTAATTGCCTGACATGTAATACACATGTGCAAGGGGCGCCTGGGTGGCTCAGTCAGTTAAGCAGCAGACTCTTGGTTTGGGCTCAGGTCCCAGTCTTGTGATTCGTGAGATTGAGCCCCGAAATTGGGATTCTCTCTCTCCCTCTCTGCCCCTCCCCCGTGGAGCACATTTTCTCTCTCTCTCTCTCTCAAAATAAATAAACATTAAGAAAATAATACACACTCACATGCTAATTTCCAGTGAATGCAAAAGTCCATCAACATAAACATTGTAAAGATACACCAACCTTAGGCTCCATATTCTGAAATTGATTGGTGTACGTACTGGGTACAACCTAGAAATCTACATTTTTTTAAGTTTTATTTAAGTAATCTCTAACGTGTTGCTCGAACTTACAGCCCCAAGGTCAAGAGTCACATGCTCTTCTCAGAAGACTGAGTCAGCCAGGCACCCCTAGAAATCCGCATTTTATTTATTTATTTATTTTTATTTATTTTTTTTTAGAAATCTGCATTTTAAAAAGTACTTCATGGGGTGCCTTCGTGACTCAGTCAATTAAGCTTCCAACTCTTGAGTTTCGCCACAGGTCATGATCTCATGGTCATGGGATCGAGGCTTGCATTGAGCTCCGCACAGCCTACTTGGGATTCTTTCTCTCTCTACCCCTCCCCAGCTCATGGTCTTGTGACTGTGCTCTCTCTCTCTCAAAATAAACAAACATTAAAAGAGAAAGAAAAATTGGAAATATTCCCATTGTCCAGAATCAGGCCTAATCAACTTCACATTCATTCCTATACTCATCACCCCATTTCTACCATCTGTCAGCTTGGTTAGTTTTCCTGCAGCCCTCTGAAGTAAGCCATGAACCTTACCCATCATTACCTTTTCTCTTACCGAGTGGTCCACATTATTCCTCAGAGGTAGTCCAACTCTCATCTACTACATCAAATGTAACTTCAGTCCACCCCCTACAGAGGAATCACCTTAAAGGAACACTGTGCTGACTTACACCGGCAGTTCTCAAACCAGTCCATTCATCAGAACCACCTGGCACGAATTGTAAACCCTGACCATAAATTTCCTATTCTGAGCTGTAAGAATGCTCGAACTTATACCAACCATATCGTTAATAAGGCCAATTCGTGTTGGTGGGGCTTGAAGACCTAGCAGCGTTGCAAGGCGACGTTGTTTTTCGACTATAATGCCATCCATATCCAGAAGTCGAGCAATATCAGTACGCTCAGGGGTAATAGGGATGGAAAGAGTGGCCAAAAGGACTCTAGTAGACATTCTGGAGAACAAAATCACAAATCTGTTACATTCATAAATGTTACCTGACATAAAGAAAGACACTTCTCTTTAACCATTTTGTAAGATATGCCAGTGACAGAATATGTACACCACCTTTGGTGGACTATATTCATACATATTATTCATCAAAACAGGAAATTAAGAGAAATGGGCCATACTAAAATGAGTACTTGGGAGAATCAGAACTTCATCTACCCACTTACTACTGTCAATATTTTCCAGCTATAGAAAAAGACTGGGAGGTTAAAATGTAGAATAGATACCTTTGTATATCCCATGCTTCCTTAGAAAAACAAGGCAGCTTTAAAAGCTAAGAAAAATGACACTAAGAAAGGGGTGGAAATTTGCAAAGAATGTCAGTGAACACAACAGGGGTGTTGGGAGGACGCGTGGTGGAGAGAAATCTTAGCTTCCTTAAAACACAAGAGGCAAGTCAGATTGAATTCAGATCACCGTATTACATTAAGGATAATGGGCTCTGGAGCTAAAGGGTGAAGGGTCAGAATCGCAGCCTCACCATTTCCAAGACTGAAACCTAAGGCAATTTTTTGAGTCATGAGGCTATTGTAAAGATTAAACAGAATAATGTACGTAGAGCTACATAGCCTAATACTTACTATTATAATACTATTACAGCAGTTTCTAAAGGGATGGTACTGGGGCGCCTGGGTGGCTCAGTCGGTTAAGCGGCCGACTTCAGCTCAGGTCATGATTTCACGGTTCACGGGTTCGAACCCTGCAAGGGCTCTGTGCTGACGGCGCTGAGCCTGGAACCTGCTTCAGATTCTGTCTCTCCCTGTCTCTCTGCCCCTCCCCTGTTCATACTCTGTCTCTGTCTCTCAAAAATAAATAA